CTTCATGGTTACGAATAATTATCATAAATTTTTATTTTCACTATAATTTAATTTAAACATTAAATTTCTTTCGACCTACGACATTTATAAAAATAAAATCTCAACCTACTCTTGGTATAAAATGAGATCATCCTATGTCTTAAGAAATGATGATAACTTTAAGTGTTATAAAATGTAATTTTAGCACTCGTAGTTGTAACGTGTTATCACGCCGCAAATAAGATCTAAAGGGACATTAACCAATCGTGAAAGGAAGAATGAATCTATTTTTGAATGGGATTTATCTCGAGTGACCTCAAATATAATTGCGTTAACCAAAACAAATCTAAATGAACATTTTAACAACGTGAAAAGTGATAAAAAATAATGAGCTTTTATATTACCATGTGAAATTGTTTTATTGCACCAAAAAAAAAAATGAGAAAGCCGGTAGTTTTATTTGTTTATGACCAATGTTCTCGTTTTTGATTTACAACGTAGATAATAATTTTGAAGCATATTTAATTTGATTGGTTTTTATTAATTTTAGTTAATTCCAATCGATAATTTCACTATTAGATAATAAAGTATTTTTATCTCATTTTATTGGGTTGGAATGAAATTTTGATGAACCACTTTTTTCTTGGTATGTAATTATTTTTTGGTTTGGTGAAGGTTATCCACTTTAAAAGTATATTATAATAGACTAAAACGTGTTAATTGAACCGGATTAGAAATGTTGTATAAAAATTTATTAACACAAAAAAATTTTTAACGTAGTGTTAATTAATTTTAATGTTAAAGAATAATTTTATTGCAAAAATTAATAATTTTTAATTTAATTCTTTCAACGTAAGACCATCAATTTTGGTTAAGAACCAAAAGGTTTATTGCCAAGCTATTTTTTATGGGGATTGGCTCAAGAGAAGTGGGTTCTGAGTAATCAACATTAAAAAGTGAAAGGAAACACCGAAATAAAGAATATAAGCAAATATAAACAATATTTGGTTTTATGCCAGCAGCAAGTAGTGTTCTGCAAGTGTATTTAATCTTCTGGCACCCGTATTTAGTCTTCTATTAGAAGTGTATAGCTTTCTGTTATCTATATTTAGTGTTCTACCAGCAGAAACCAATGTTCTGCAAGCAGTATCTAATCATCTATTAGCAACTTCTAGTCCTCCATTAGCAATATTTAGTCTTCTGATACCTTTCAGTTCTTGAGAAATAAATTTTTGAAATGTCATGTTTCGCCAATTAAGTTTCAAAAGTCGTGGAATATGAGTATGAAAATTTCCCAAAGTGTTAATAAAAGTGTCCTCTTTCCAATGAACCAACTCGTTTTGAAAAATAACTTTTAGTTTTTGAGAAAGCAATATTTGAAGTTTTGATCAAATTTTCGATGTTGCAATTTTCATCGATAATTTTCAAAATTCGCTATAAAATTAATTTCTTGAAGGATCCTTGTG